GTTGGTGTAGCTTACTATATGAAATTTAACCTAAAATACGCAATAAAAATGAGTTTTTTTTAAGCTGCAGTTAATTGTTTTAATATTAAAAAAGTATATTTTATTTTAAAATATTTATTGCGGCCCCTTAGAAAAAAAGGATACAAAGCTCTACAAAAATCAGGTGAATAGAAGTAAACATAATGATGAAATAAAACATATTTTCTATTATATAAAATAGGTAATAAAATATAATTTACATAAAATTTATACGAAATTATAATTAATATAAAATAGGTAATAAAATATATTTAATAGATAATTCATGAATAAACTAAAATAAGATTAATTAATTATTTTGTATGAAAGTTAAAACGTAGTTTTTATTAAAATTTCCAAAATATTTAAAATCAGAGGTAACAAATTAACTTACTCCATTAATTATATAGTCTCCCATTAATGTAGGATAATCACAAATGCGGAAAAGTGGGAACATTGAACCTAAATGGTAATATTCGATAATTTTATTTAATTATTTGAGGTTTTTTACGTTTATATGAAAAGAACTAAAAATTATGTGTTGAAAAGAAAGTGTTTCACTACGCATTTACCCATTTTTTGTCGCGGCTCAACTCTGTCGGCGTCACATTGAACACTGAACTGACGTCACCTAGGCTGTGGCCATATGCGCAGTGGCAACGCTTTGGCGCGGTTATTACTGATCTAGTGTAATATATAAATCAATGGATGGAACGCCTCGTTTACAGTAAAAAGGGTCTCCGGTTCTGTACATACACCATACAAAACACAACAGCGTTGAATAATAAAGTATCCCACCCGTTCGCTCCCGAGCAGATATCATCTTCAGTCTTGACATCCTGCAAGCCATCTAGCTTCACAAGGTTCATCGCCGCACTGGAATAATAATGCTTCCTGTTCCTTCAAGCTACTCTCTGCGCTATACAGTGTTCGGCACGGCTCTGAGCCTTACTGCTCGCCTCTGCTTCACGGCACTCTCGCAGATTACTTGCCTTCTTCTCGACTCACCACAGACTACAAGGCAATCCCCTGGCACATGCACATTCGCCGACAACAAGATTGTACCATCGCCCTCCGGTCTGAGCAGGGGGGTGATGTGGCGGCGCTGGCGTCGCGCCACAAGTGAAACACATCGGAGCCTAAATCGCGCGATCAAAGTTACGAGTAAAAACAGTATATATATATATATATATATATATATATATATAGCTCCGACCTACCACACGGAGCGTTGGCCGCTCTCCGGGTAGAATACCTTACCCGGCGGGAGAATCTCCCCTTTTCCTTCCACGGCCACAATATACTAATTATAGCTGCAACATGGCTCTACCACGCAATAGAGGTAAATCATACATAAACACTCACGCCTGTCACCCAGAGGGTAGGCAGAGACTACAGACTTCCATTTGGCACGATCCTGACACACCTCTCTCGCCTCATTCACATTCATATACCTGCGCATACATGCTCTCTACTAATTTTTAAAAAGTATTCCTAATTTGGCCCGTTCTCAATAAATCGCTAATTTGGTCAACAAATTTTCGCCTAGAACATCATTTTCCGACTCTTCCATTCACTTCTGTTTAGTTGTATAGAATGATTATAAATAGATTATAAAAAGTAATAATGAGTATTAAAGTAAATACAACTAGCTCAGGTTTCTTTTTAGCAATCAACGTACGTTTGTACAAATATTTACGCTTAAAATTACACGAAGCCTTAAAAAGGCAACTTTCTTAAGAAATCTAGGCATTTAACTTTCTTTCGTAGTTTTTCTTCGACGGTTTCTTTTAATTTAGATTTAATTCATCATGTTCCCTCAACATGAATTATATATTTATACACATTTGAATATAAATACGTACTGTATTTATTTACAGTAAGTGGCACAAGTTTTAAGCTATATGTAATTTCGTTTAGCAGTATTCCACATTCTTTTATATAGTTAATTAGTGATCTATGTAAAAGATTATACACGGAGTATTTCTGTGTGATAGAATCCTTATTAGAGTAATTAACATAGCCCAAAAGGTCAGCCGGCCTACTCCCGATAGTACCGTGTTCTGAATCAATCGAGCTTTATTCGAACTCAAGGTAATCAATAATAACAAAAAAAAAATACGGTTGACCCTATAGGCCATCCCGGGAACTTCCCGCTAATACAAATGCAACCGCAAAATCGCTCCAAATTCTAGCTATTATCCATAGATTTTTTTCCCTTTATTGAATAGTACCCGGATGACCGAGCTTTGCTAGTTATTTTTTTTTTTGAAATTACATTTATAAATTACATACTGATGAAACATAAATAATATTTTTTGATCTTATTGACAGAATAGAAAAAACTGAACTGGTTATTTGAATAAAAAATCATGAGTGCAATTAGTTTTATTAAAATTTTCGTATTTTTATTATTAATAAGTATTAAAAAAAGGGGCTTGAAATAATAGATTTTCTCACAAAAGATGGGAACTTGAAAAAAAAGGAAAAAAGCCGGAACAGAGACAAGACGCGAACCACGGAACTCCGATATCACGCCCGACCGACATCCCACCTGAGCTATTACGATCGTTAGTGATCTGACAAAATTTACCTTCTTATATTGTAGCAGTTTTTTATTGCCTGAAAACACGGACAAAGGGACATTTTATAAAAATAAATCCTAGCTAGATCGATTTATTGCCCCCGAAACTCCCTGGACACTAAATTTTATGAAAATCGTTGGAGCCGTTTCTGAGATTCCGATTATATATATACAAGAATTGCTGGTTTAAAGGTATAGGATTTCACGAACAAATTAACCGATTTCAACAAACTTGAGGGCGTTGTCACAATTTTTAAGCACTTAGTTAATTCATTAAATCAAAAAAAAAATATCAAGAAAAAATTTCGAAGTTATTAAAAAAAAAACATTTGCAAAAAAACGTTTGCAGAAATCGACGTCATTTTTTGAGTTTAAGAGCTATTAGATTTTGGAATTTCACTTTACATGTCTGGTTTCGATAATGTTAGTGCTGCTGGCCTATGCGGCTCTTACAGCTTCATAGGACTTGCTTTACCTGTACTGTCCACTGTACGTGTTAGACCAGTACTGGTCTAACACATAGGGGCTACTGTTGCCTAAATGCAAGAACAAGACATGACTTAGCCAGTCTTGGTCTTGGTGTTACGCCAATACACCTGGACTTGGTCTTGGTCTGGGTATTGCACCCCTAGTCTTGGTCTTGGTCTTGGTCTTGCAGCAAGAATCTCGGAAGTCTCGCAATTACCCATTAGCCTATTGCTATTTATTAAACGTTACTTTAGATCTTAGAACAACGTATCAGAATAGGTACATTTTGAGCTTGAATTAACATAATGATTTCTTATATATAACATACTATAGCTGATGTGAAGAATCGACGCTCCGAGACGTCTGCAGTCTGTGAACACGTACAGGATCGCCCCAGTCACTATATCAGATTTGATAAACCACAAATCCTCGCTAAAGAACACCGATTCCTTCCAAGAATGATTCGCGAGGCTATTGAAATCAAATAACATCCTAATTTCAATAGAGAAGCTGGCTGCTACCATCTGCTTGGGATCCTATAATAAATAAAATTAAATCTCAACCCAAGCATACAACTGCAAGACTTCAAGATACCATAAGTTCATACTGTGTAGATTAGAACAAAAGCTAAATTTTAATTTATGGTAACCGCGGTTAACTATGACATCTGGACGTTGAAAATCTCAGTCAAAACGTTGGGTATTTAAAAAGTTAAATATTTGCGATAAAATCCATAAAAACCAGTATTATTTGAAGTAACACAGTCTTTGCTAGACCAACCAAATTAATAAATGTCTAAACGTTTAATGAGAAATTCCAAAAATCATAAGGTGAAATCCATGCCGATGCTTCTAACCAACTGAGCTATCTAGAAGTCAGTATGTTTCTTGTGATGTGAATTGTGTATATTATGTTCTTATTGTGATGGAATTAATCTACGTTAATTAAATTAAATTTGCCTAGGTACGTTACTTGCCGTATTTATCTAGGTACTAGAATACGATAAAAGTTAATAAACCGACACAGTTAATCAATTTTTGAAAATGTGTGGTTTTAAAACACAAAATGCGCGAATACGACTTCACTCATTCGAAATTCAGAATTCAATTATTTTTAATTCAAGTAGGCAATAAAATATACTTTTGAATAGTCATATAATTACTGTTTTCCCCAATTTTTTTCTTTTCCATGTTCAGGGGTGCTGTATCTACTGAGAAGAATGATGGAAGAAAGTAAAAAACTCAGTAGTTACTCTATTCAAAATATTTTACAATAGTAGTAATCTTATTTATTAAAATTACTAATATTCCGTTTAACCACTACTGGTAAGCTTGAAACGCTTGTGTTAGGAGTGGTTCACGACAGTAGTCAAATGGCGGATTCGAACCCACGACTTTTTGAGTTCGCATTCCGCGCCCTGCCAATAGACTACTGTCGCTTCAAAGTGTATGTTAAAAGTGTCTACAATATTTATCAAATGGGTGACGCCATATTCGAGCAATTTGTGTTTTAAAAACACACACTTCCAAAAATCAAGATTTAAGATAATAATAATAAAATGGCGTAGGGAAGTGACGACCCCATCGCCCGCTGCCGTAACGGTTACGTGACAAAACCGCTACGTGAGTGCAGTCAGTCAGCACCTTGCCAAGAGGTGTTAGTGCCGTGCCTCGGCATAAATTGAAGGTGAAAAGGCCCGCTTATGCACATGGCCTCACCAAGAAACTAGTTCTGCACCGGATCTGGGCATCTCCAATTGCGAATTGGATAAAACGCGCAAAGGACTGCTGTGCTGCTGCTTGGGGGTCACCGGAGCGCGTCTGGAGCTGGCGCTGGACGCGACGGCATGCGAACTGCCAGCCGAGTGCGAGGTGCTGCTCGACCACCTAGTAGCCCCTCGCATCCATCATCCCCACCAGCAGGCTTGGTGATGGCAGGGTCTTCGCGGGCCCAGCAATCGGCACCCGCCACTGGTGGAATACGACACATGCGTTGGACAATCTCGATGAATAGCAACGCATTGCGGGTGTATTATAGGGCGAAAGGGGGAGAAATTGGAGGTTTTGCGTACCGGGCAAGGATGCATCGACTTTTTGCTGAACTGGAGCCATCTGTAACCATCACCGAGCAAAACCTTGCAGACCGACTTCGGTATATCTTGCGCTCAAATATATTTGATGGCGCCGAACTCGAACGCCTACGACGTGAGGATGTTCACTCATCAAATGAAAATGCTACGGCTGAGGATGCAGTGCCACAAGTTGCAGAACAACCCGCACACGTGGATACCGCCGTGAATACCCCAGTGGTGGCTGATTCAAATGATGATGGAACATTCGCCCAGGAACTAGAAATAGAGCAAATGAGGAGTACATTGGAAGAGACGATTGTGGAAGCGCGCAGTATGCCTCGAAAGGATCCCGGCAAGCTAAATCGGGCTGTCATGAGGGCTCTGAACCCAATGCTGGTGACCTATTCGGAAGCCAGCCGGGACCTTTGCGATACGGACTCAATTCCTTATGGCGCCGCGCTGGTAGTCTGTCGTATTATAGGCGCCAAGGTTTCCACGGCTGGACGCGCTACTGGTTAAGGTAGTGCTATCCGAGCATGAAAAGGAAGAATTGAGGAGCGTATCGTAAGGGCTAGAGCTATCATCAGCAGACTGATATGCTTCAGATCAGGCAATCAACAGGCCAAGAATTGTGCGCACCGTCAGGATGGCGTTTGCTGGGACAAATGTCAGTTTGTCCCAGCCGGATATAATGCAAAAACTGACGGAGCGCATAGATGATCTGAAGCAAAGAATCGCTGCTTGGGGAAAGCGGATTCGGCGATATACCGAGAGGTCAGAATCAGAATCGTCTCTTCCAGAGTGATCAGAAGAGGCTCTATGCATCTTTGGAGCGACCAATAGTAAGTGGAACGGGCCCAGCACCGAATCAGGCCAACACTGTAACATTCTGGCGCGGCCTGTGGTCCGAGCCCGTAAACCACAGCGAGGGCCCTTGGACGGAAGTTGTGGCGGGTCAGTGCGCGAGTACAACGCCCATGTACCCGTCATTATAACGCCGGATGACGTAGCTGAGGCGGTCCGTAGGGCCCCGAACTGGAAAAGTCCGGGACTCGACGAGCTGCATCACTACTGGCTGAAGGGGTTTGTGGTGAGTCACACTGTGCTCGCCCGACAGTTCCAGAAGTCAACTCTCAACCAGAAGTCGCTCCCGAGCCTTTTCACTACTGGGATCACTCATTAGGTTCCTAAAGACCAGGATACCACAGACCCGAGCAAATACCGCCCTATCACGTGTCTACCGACCATATACAAGACAATAACATCCATTTTGAGCGCGAGAATCACTCGTCACCTGGACTCAAGTCAGGTGATGTCGCGCGCTCAACATGGATGTCGGGGCGGTGGTCGTGGAACCAAAGAACTACTTTTCATTGACGCTGTCATTGGCAAAGTGGTGAAACGCAGCCGTCGGAACTTCTCCGCTGCCTGGATAGACTACAGAACTCGGTGCCCCATACATGGCTAAAGAGGGTCCTCGAGTTGTACAAGATTGACTGTACAGTTAGAGACTTCCTTGAGCAGTATATGGGGCATTGGAGTACGATCCTTTGTCATCTGGGCAAGCGGATGACGGCTGCGGAAAGCCACATAAGGATAAGAAGGGGTATCTTCCAGGGCGATTGTTTGAGTCAAATTTGGCTCTGCCTCTCTTTGAACCCTCTCAGTACCTTACTGGAGGGCTCCGGGAGGGGTTTTCAGCTTCGGAAATGAGGTACAAAAGTGACCCACCTTTTTATATGGATAAATTCAAGTTATTCGCCTCCAGTCGCTCTTATATTGTGGAAAAACTAAACATCACTTGTGAATTTAGCAATCCTATTGGAATGGAGCTGGGGACGGATAAGTGTGCGGTCCTCCATGTTGATAGGGGAAGAGTTGCTAACTCTGAGGGCATAGACGTATCTATGCCCATCAACTTAAGGATCCTTTCCGAGTCTGAAACATACCGATACCTGGGTGTGTCACAGAACATCGGTATCGATGAGGCTGGTATGAAACAGTCAGTTTGCGACGTGTTTTATGCACGCTTGACCAAAAAGCTCAACAGCCTTTTGTCTGGTGTAAATAAGACACACGCATATAACAGTTGGATCATGCCTGTCCTCATGTATACCCTGGGCATACTCAGGTGCACTCAGACTGAACTTAACGCCCTCGATAGAAAAGTCCGCACTACCATGACGACCCACAGGATGCATCATCCGAGATCGTCGGTAATGAGGCTGTACTTGCCGAGAAAGCATGGTGGGCGTGGCTTTTTGACCTCACCATGCATTTTCGCGCTCATGGTGTGAGCATAATCGCGAAGTGTGCAGCCTCCGTAATTACTTCCTGGCGAGTAATCGGATCTGGTATGGATCGGATATGGTCTCCCCTGCAGAGGGCTTCCATCTGGTTGGATTTTTATTTATTTATGCATTTTTTTGTATTTATTTTATTTTATTGATATTTATGTATATCTATCATTCTCATTCACAATTATATATTTATGGAACCCAACCAGATGAGACAACTATATAGATATAATAATAGTAAGTAGTTATTATAAACCCATATAGTTAATATTATAATAATTACTTACTGGAATAATTTATTATGATATCTACCTATCCTTTCCATTGTCTAATTACAATATTCCTTGCGAGGTCAGCTTAAAGTATTCGTATCTTAAATATAAATACGTATATGAATGTCTATATAAATATCTTTGGAATATGTAGTCTATAGCGGCAATCAAACAGTGTCAAATGATGTGCGTTCGGCGCAGCGGCGACGATTGTATGCGATATCAATAGAAGCAGGGTTGCCGTTCTACAAATTTTAAAATCCCTAGACTAACAGAAAAAATCCGCCAGAAACCGGATTTTTCTTTCTCTTAAAATCCGCTAGATGTCCCTAGGTACATTTTCGTGCTACCATTGGACTAACTGAAAAATCTTGCCAAATAGTATACAATGAATACCGAAAATATAAATCTATAAATTCAGAAAACTTTGACTTTGATTATATACCTGGAGCGGACTCTATTTCATATAAATCAGTTATTTATAGTGTAGGTTAAGACATGACAACCAAAACAAAAATTACTCATGTAAAAAATAAAAAAAATATTGTAAAAAAAATAAATCTTTAATCTTTAAACCACGTTTAAACATTAGTCATCTTATTAAAAATAAAACAATTAGCTCAGTACTTTCTTAAACCTTAATTTTAAAATTTATTGCAAAGTATGCATGCAGATCTTCAAAAAGAACGGCAGTTAAAGCTTCACCAATCTCTCCAGTTACCATCTTTGGTTTGCCTTTACCGACTTGGTTGACAACATCTTCAGGAATATCATACGTTGCTCAATTATTTTTTTAACCCTTAACTGATTTCTAATCACAAGAATGGAATTTAAAGTTTTTTCTTATAGCTTGTTTCGCAATTTGCTTTTAACTACATTCATAGCACCAAATACGCGTTCAAATTCTGTATTTGCGTGCGGTAGTGATAATATTAGTATTGCAAAATTTCATAGACCTTCGAATATGTTTACTCCTGCTGCATTTTTTGTATGTCGTAACAGATGAAAGTGAATGAACGACATTAAATTGGTAGTTTATGTTCGGGCATTCCCGTGAAATTATATTATATATACAGCGTTACCAACGGTAGATTACAAAATTGGACATACAATAAATCACTTATTTGAAATGAATTACTTTATAAAACAGTCGCCATCTCAAGAGTCCAAAAGTCGCTAGAACTCGCTAAATAATTATTTCTCGTTAAAATCTTTCTGTTAAAATCCGCTACATCTAGCGAGAAAGTCGCTAAAACGGCAACACTGAATAGAAGTCGCTGGCGCGTGTATCTTTCTTTTTTTGACGAGTAAGTACTTGACCTTTGATGATGCCGACAACAAGAAGCCGCGCACTATCAAAGTGCCGATGGTCAAAACTAGGGATGTATTTTTTCTTTTAATGGATATTTTCATTCCTTGTGTAAGTATGTTTATTTTCCAAATTTTTTTATTTAATTTTTTGCATCTCATAGAGTGCCTTAGCGTATATCCGAACTCCTATTCTCCCTGAAACGACACTCAGTCCTAACTGCAAGACGCAAGAGTCTCGCAGGCTTAGTCTTGTTCTTGCTCAAATCTTGCACGGTCAGTCTTGTTCTTGGTCTTGCTAAAATTAAGCGGTCTTGGTCTTGGTCTTGCAAAAATGCAAGAACAAGACCAACACTGATTTTGGGCAACACTAGTAGAAGCCTTTCGGAGAATTTTAAAATATGTACTTTGTAATGTGGGGTGCATTTTAGGCTTCTCTCCGCATGCCCAATAAAAATATAGCCAAAGAAGAGCCTCAGAAAATATACAAAATATTAGCAAAAAAGAGTAAAACCAAAAAAAAATTGGGTTATGAAGTCGATGGGTTGGCATGAAGGGCTATTGAGGAGAGACCTGCAACACCTGCCGTTGCTGTGTTGGCAGTTAGCGACCCGCCGCTTACTAGATGGGCACCGCGACATTGGTGTAAACAGATAATGGTGTAGAGGTGAGTGTGCGGGTTGAAAATCCTTATACAATCCGTATCCTCCTGGCGTTACGATACTTTATAATTCCACCATTCAAACTTAAATTTCTAGCACTGTAGCCCTAGCTGGAAGCTCTAGCGCCCACTCTGGCCAGCCGACCAAGGCAAGCCAAAGGTGGGGAGTTACAAACTCTCCGGGAGAACTCGGTTATGGATCGTGATGTCGCCACTTACCAACAACTCACCACAAGCTGCCTTGAGGGTGTATTAATTTTTAGTATTATTATAATAAATTTTTTTTGGTAAACAAATATTCTCTCATAAAAAATACGTTTTTATTTCATAATCCTTTGTGACTTCGCTCTATTCGATTCTTTGTTTCGGTGAATTTTAAACGTATTAGCTCCTTCGCTTCTTCGAATCGTATCAATTCGTCAGACGAGTAACGACAGATGTGTAAAGGGTGCTATTTTATTTAAATTTAATTACCATTTCTGCATAATTGGAAACCGATATTAGTGAGCCACTTCCATTGTCGATACCTTCGCACTAGTAATGCTGCCCCGTTCACCGGTTAGGGTTCGGAAAATTAGAATACATATTAAAATCAGTCATAGAATAGAATATAATATTATGGAATGATATATAATAATAATTTATGGGCACACTCAAAAGGAAAAGTTACACAAATCACAATTTTGCAATTTGATTACTTTTGGTATAGAATACGTAATGTGCAAACAGTGATCTTCGACTCCTGTGCTAGGAGAGCCTGTGCTACAGGAGTCAATACTCTTCATATCTCTTGTCTATATTGTACATAATAATATAATGGAAAAGGTGCAAAACAAAAAGACAGTTCTATATAGAGGTTAGGATGGGATAGAATAAAATATAAAGAATCATAGCTTATAAGGCTACCTTTTCTACCTCTCTCTAAGTAGTAAATATTAGTTTTGAGTATAATAAGTCATATGTCTCTCTTGCAGCTTTTCA